TCAGTCCAGGCAGGTCCAGTCCTCTCCTCTCAGGCTGAGCCTAGTGACCCTGCATAAGCTCCAGGTTTCAAACAGCCAACTCATGCAACTTAACAATACACCTGAATGATCCATAACAAAATTTAGCAAATGCACAAAAGAGTAGTAGATGCCAGTTAATAATCAAACTGAGGGCTAAAATCAGTAAAATAGAATCAAAGAGAACAATGCAAAGAATAAAACAAAGAATTGGTTCCTTGAGAAAAAATCAACAAGATAGACAAACACTTATCCAAACTAACTAAAAGGCAGAGAGAGAATATAAAATTAACAAAATTAGAAATGAAAAAGAGGACTTAACTACAGACATCAAGGAAATTCAGATAATAATTAGGTCATACTTCAAAAATCTATACTCCAGAAAATTGGAACATTCAAAAGTAATGGACAAATTTTCTTGATATATGCCACTTATCAAAGTTAAATCAAGATCAGATAAACAAATAGATCGCTAATCCCTAAGGATATAGAATCAGTCATTAAAAGTCTCCCAAACAAGAGACTCCAAGGGCCAGACTCTTTTAGTACAGAAATCTACCAGTTGTTCAAAGAGATAATATCAATACTCCTAAAATTATTCTACAAAGTAGAAACAAGAGGAAAAATGCCAAATTAATTTTATAAGGCCACCGTCTCCCTGATACCCAAACTACATGAAGTCTCAACAAATGAAGACAATTATAGACCAATACCCCTCATGACATTGATGCAAAAATACTAAATAAAATACTCAGAAACCAAAAAGAACACGTAAAATAGAGCATCCATCATTATCAAATAGGCTTCATTCCACAGATGCAAGGATGGTTCAAGATAGGAATATCTGTCATTGTAATCTACAACATATGAAGACTAAAAGAAAATAAATTATATGATTATCTCATTAGATGCTGAAAAGGCAATGGCAAAATCCAAGATTCCTTCATAATAAAAATCTTGGAGAGATCAGGAATACATGGAACATACCTAACCATGATAAAAGCAGTTTATAGCAAGCCTAAGACCAACATCAAATTAAATGGAAAGAAACTCAATGCAATTCCACTAACAGCAAGAACAGGACAAGGCTATCCACTCTTTCTCCATATCTATCCAATATAGTACTTGAAGTTCTAGCTAGAGCTAGACAACTAAACGAGATCAAGAGGATAAAATTAGAAAGGAAGAACTCAAAGTATCTCCACTTGCAGATGGTATGATAATATATATTGGTGACCCCAAAAATTCTACCAGAGAACTCCTAAGGCTGATAAATATCTTCAGTGAAGAGGCTGGATACAAGATTAACTAAAAAAAAAAAAAATATCAGTAGCCCTATACAGAAGGATAAATGGGCAGAGAAAGCAATCAGCAAAACAACACCCTTCACAATAGCCACAAATAATATAAAATATCTTGGGTTAACTCTAACCAAGCAAGTTAAAAACACTGTATTACAAGAACTCCAAGTCTTTGAAGAAAGAAATTGAAGAAGATAGCAGAAGATGGCAAGATCTCCCATGCTCATGTATCAGAATGATTAACATAGCAAAAATGGCCTTCTTACTAAGAGCAATCTACAGATTAGAAGTAACCCCTATTAATATCCTAACACAATTCTTTACAGACCTTGAAAAATAATACTCAACTTCATATGAAAAACAAAAATCCCAGGATAGTTAAAACAATGCTGTACAATAAACCAACATATGGAGGTATCACCATACCTGATTTAAAGCTCTACTACAGAGCTATAGTAATTAAAACCACATGATATTGGCATAAAAACGGAAAAACAGTCAGTAGGAACTATAGAATCAAATCTAAATCCATACATAAATCTGGACACCTCTGGACACCTTATTTTTAACTAAGAAGCCAAAATTACACAATAAAAAAAAGAAAATCTTGAACTAATGGTGTTAGTCTAACTGGAGGTCAGCATGAAGGAAAATGAATGGATCCAAATCTATCACCATGCTCAAAACTCAAGTCCAAGTGGATCAAAGTTCTCAACATACATACAGATACACTGAAAATGATAGATGAGAAAGTTATGAATTGCCAAAATAAATTTGTACGAGACAAAATATTGAACAGAACATCAATAGAACAGGCACTAAGATCAGCAATTTATAAATGGGACCCCATAACAATGAAAATCTTTGGTAAGACAAAGGATATAGTCAATAGGACAAATCTGCATTATACATAATGGGGAAAGATCTGCAACAATCCCACATCTTTCAGAGGGATAATTTCTAAATATTTAAAGAACTCAAAAAGCTAGACATTGAAAAAAAAAAACAATAAAAATGGAGAACAGATCTAAACAGATTTCTCAAATGACTGAGAAACACTTAAAGAAATGTTCAGCATCCTTAGCCATCAGTGAAATACAAATCAAGACAACTCTGGGATTTCATCTTACACCTGTCAAAATGGCTAAGATCAAATGCAAAAGTGACAGTTCATGGTGGCTAGGATGTAGATCAAGGGGAACATTTCTCTGCTGATGGTAGAAGTACAAACTTGTATAGCCACTTTGGAGATATGTAGCCTGTAACCAGGCAAGGCTTCCAGTGGAGACACTGGAACACCAAACCCATCCATATAACCATAATCCTACAATTTATCCTGCCTACAAGATGTACTTGCTAAAGTTAGCAAAGAAATTGTTAGATTAGTGAATACCCTAACTTTCATCATAGAGCCTTCATCCAGTAACCGCTGGAAGCAGATGCAGAGATCCACAGCCATGCACCAGACCAAGCTCTGGGAGTCCAGTTGAAGAGAAGGAGGGATTATATCTGCGAGGGGGGGTGTCAAGATCATGATGGGGAAATCTACAGAGACAACTGAACCAAGCTCGTAGGAACTCACAAACTTTAGACTGATAGCTCTGGAAACTACACTGGACCAGAGAAGATCCTCTGCATACGAGAGACATTTATGAAGCTTGGTCTGTTTGAGGGGCCCCTGGCAGTGGGATTAGGATCTATCCCTGGCACATGAGCTGGCTTTCGGGAATCCATTACCAATGGTCAGAGGCCTTTCTCGTCCTTGATGCATGGAGGAGGGGCTTGGTCCTGCCTCAGCTGAATGGACCAGGCTTTGCTGACTCTGATGGGAGCCCTTATTCTTTTGGAGGAGGGCTTAGTTCATCCGGGGTCGGGGTGGGGTGGAAAAGGCTGGGAGGGAGAGGAAGGAGGAATAAGAGGGGGATCTGTGATTGGTCTGTAAAATGAACAAAGAAAATTCTTAAATAAAAAGTGAAATTTAAAAAAAATGAAGCCAGGCGGTGGTGGCACACACCTTTAATCCCAGCACTCAGGAGGCAGAGCCAGGTGTATCTTTGTGAGTTTGAGGCCAGCCTGGTCTCCAAAGCGAGTTCCAGGAAAGGCGCAAAGCTACACAGAGAAACCCTGTCTTGAAAAACCAAAAAA